GGTGCCCTCAATTCCCGCAATACTGCAAACCCCTTGGCCTGAAAGACCGTCGACGAGGATTGTACAGCGTGATGAAGAGTCTCTTCGGCATGAAGCGGGGGAGACGGAGAATCGACGTGCGTTGGAGGAGTATCGGAGCCAGAAGAGCGCGCTGCAGGAGGAGAAACTGTATGTTCTCTCTACCGGCGCTTCCTTATTCTCTACCTGATCTCGGGTGTCTATTATGTGTCTATGAAAGGGGTTCCTCCGATCTGATGTTGTGTACAGTGCCGTATGTCCTCGCCTCACGCTTCGACTCTCGGATGCCAGCACTCTGTCTCTCAGGGATGGAACCTTGGATTTCACGGCGACGCTATGCTACACAATGACTCCTGAATTTGTACCTAGCCAGCCAATCGTTCTACACCTGCTTGGTCCTAAAGCTGGAGGCCCACTATCCGAGAACGCAGTGTACTGGGGCCAGTACCAGATCTTTGCTTCGCCTGAGAACCTCCCTGAACATCGCCTTCCCTTTGAATGGCGCAATGTGAGTTTACGGCGGCCAAGAGATGCAAACGGGCGGTTCATCGATTCGAGCGATAGCCATTACGCAGCGGCGCAGACTTATGTTGTCAGCGAGGCTGAGGGATGGATTGAGCTGTTTCCCGGACAAGAAGTCAGCCGGCGCGTGACGTTACAGCTTGATCAGGCTGTTGCTTGGCAACGAGGGGTCAGCTCTGGGCGGGATTATTGGTTGCGTTGGGCGCCAAGTGGAACGGTTGGTAATCCGAAGACGTTGTGGAGCTGGAAGTATGGCGGGTTGAAGGTACGTCACCGAGTTATTGTTAGGGTTGGCCATCCAATGTCGGGCAGTTGCTGACTGTTTCCACCGCGCAGGATTGGGAAGGGATCATCCTCAACAAGAAGGAGGATTCAAAATGCTGGATACCGATTCCTATCCAGTCAGAGGAAAGCGGGCTGAAGTTCAAAGTCGTTGATGGGGCCGAGTAAGATGCAGCTGACAATCATGAAACGACTTGGTTCGCTGGAGCACCCAAAATAAACGCTCAGCAGCGAATCCTTAGGAGAATCATATTCGGCCCCATTTTTTGTATTTGGCCCCCTGATTTTCCTAGTCGACCCCTCTAGGCAGAAGTATGCGTGGAAGTTTTCGAGCCTCGACTTCAGGACTACGCATACGGATCGGCGCGATGCGCAGACTTGGCGGAGAATGATGGCGAAGAAGCGTATGACAACGCAGATAGCTGGATGCTCATCGCCCTTGGAACGTACTGGGCGGACAAGTGCGGCCGCGATATTCCTTTGAGTGAGGAATAGGAGGATTGGATGTGCGCTGGCTCTTTCTATTATCAATGGGCGAGGGGATCGTTGGCCATAGCCATCAATCCCTCGAGAAACCCTGAATATAGGTTGTTTTTGTAGAACAAGAAGAGATGTGATTGTTCTATAGAAGAGGGAGGAAGCCCTGTATAAATACTACTAGGGCGACGCTAGTGCTAGCGTGGGTGAATCACGTGATAGAATCCTAACCAACAGTTTTCGAAATATTGTGCGGTTTTTGAGCCAATCAAGGAAAATGGCGCTAGATCTAGTTTGTTAGCAAATCGTAGTACAAACAGTATCCTACTACATTTGGCATCGCCAGAACGCTCTAAAGAATGCAGCGTGTGCAGGCGTTATCTAAGAATCTCTTAGCGTATCGTTTTTTCTTTAAATATAGTGACGCTGTCTAGATGCAAATGCGTGCTTAGCTTTTAATATTTTATTGTAGAGATATAGGTAATTAACAAGTCTGTAAGAGAGATGTAGTTAGAACGAGGTGCAGCGGCAGGGTCCGCGGGAAGGGCTAGCGCGGTTTTAGTGCGGGGCAATCGCCGATATGTGCACGAAACCATGCGCTAATCTCTCTACACGCCTCGCTTCCTTATCCCTCACGCTGTAAACGCTACGCCTGTCTTCTTTGGGCGATGACTGTGCCTCTTCCTTTGTTCTGGTTATTGTTGTGCGACAATAGGCACCCATCGCGATGACGTGCGACGTCCGTGCGCGAAATCGCATGTTCACCGTGTCCCCAGCACTGAGGTTCGTTTGCGCTGCATCTTTTTACTTGGTCGTTCCAAATCGTGACGAAGATGCTCAGCGCACATCGTCTCGTTCACTCTCGTCGCCATGGAGTCTAAACCACCTCTACCTGTTTCAGCGGACTCGTATGTCTCGACTCATAGCACTGCACTTGAGAGAGCTAGTTCACAGGCTTTGGTCGGCGATGAGAACCCGCTCAACTGGTCGGCACTGCGCAAATGGCCCTTGTCCATTATCGTGATCCTGATGTCCGCAACGATGGGCTACTACTCCGGTGTGCATGCTGCCTCGATCCAGGCAGTCGCAGATTTCTACGGATGTTCGGTACTCGCGTCCACGTCTGCGGTGTCGTTCTTTCTCCTCGGATTTGCTATTGGTCCTCTCTTCTTCGCACCGTTGTCTGAAATGCTGGGAAGAAACCCGATTCTCAGAGTCGCGTTTGGACTCTTCGTCATATCCAATATCGGAGACGCGTTAGCGCCTAACATCGAGACACTGTTGTTCTTCCGCTTCTTGGGAGGCCTTTTGGGAGCGCCGACAGGTACGAGAACGAATAGAGAGAGATGGCACCCATACTGTGCTAATATCCTGCAGTTACCAACACGGCAGGCTCCCTCACTGACATGTGGGCTCCACATGAGCGAGCTGTCCCACTCGCTCTTTTTACCGCAGCAAGTTTCTTAGGTTTTGTCATCGGCCCCATCTGTGGCGGACCTATTACGCAGTACGCTTCGTGGCAATGGTGAGCAACTCCCTCTCCTACGAAACTTCTCAACAATGTCTAACAATACCGTAAGGGGCTATTGGACTTCCATGATCCTCGGCGGCATAACCTACATCTGCGCCCTCCTCTTCCTCCCAGAAACGTACGCCCCACAACTGGTCCGCGCGAAGCAAATCAAAGCTGGTGGCAACCTCTCCAATGTTGACTGGAAGAAACGCGCGCGCGATAACCTGGTTCGTCCATGGGTTATGCTCTTCACCGAGCCCATCGTGTGGGCCTTGTCAACGTACATGGCATTCCTATACGGAATCATGTGTCTCGTACTCGTCGCCTATCCCATCGTCTATAAGGAATACAGAGGCTGGTCAACTGCCAAGATGAGCGTTGGATACACAGGCCTGGCAATGGGAATGGCTCTTCCAACAATCCTATCACCTCTGCTAAATCGCGCCCATACACATTTTGTGCGCAAACTAGGTCCGCAGCCTGAAGCACGCTTCCCACTGCAGATAGCTTTCACATGGCTAACACCTATTGGGCTCTTCTGGTTCGCATGGACGGCAACAGCGTCTGTACCGGCTGTCGTGCCCATTCTGGCTGGGGTTCCGCTGGGTATCGGTCTTCTGACGGCTTTTCTGGATATTGCTGCGTATCTTACCGATTGCTATGGTATATACGGGGCAAGTGCCCTTGCTGCAAATGGACTTCTGTGCCGACTCTTTGGTGCAGCATTTCCGCTCTTCTCGAAACGGTTGTATGAGAGCTTGGGTGTACCGTGGGGAACTAGTCTGTTGGCTTTCGTCGCCACGGCTATGGCGCCTATCCCGTGGATCTTCTATCGCTATGGGCCGACGATCAGAAAGAAGAGCGCATACCATCAAGCCGCCATGGGTCGTACATAGAATGCGATATGCGTTTCTTTGTGTGTTACATAGATTGAACGATGCGAATAGTCTGAGAATTGACGGACGCGACGAACAGTGATCGGTGTTGGTACATATATCTAATGTGATCCGTGCTCAAACGCGTTAATAGCTTCCAACGCGCTGCGCCCAGGCAGCTCCCCTTGCCACGACAATTGCTTCCTCAACCCAATACGCGCCCTACGCCCATCACCAAAGACATCACTTTGCTTGTCTTGGGGAAGAGATACTTCCACCGTGAAGTATCAACGTGCGCAATGTGTGGGCCTCGCTCGAGCCAGCACCGCACGACTTCAACGCGCACCCAACCTGGCTGGACGAGCTGATGCGCCTAGGTCGAGCCTGTGACGTCCAACCTCGTACCAGCCATCCCCTACAAGCTCTCTAGCTACGCTCGTCAACAAACGCATTAGCACGCAACGGCACCAACAACAAAGACGACTTCTTCGTTTCGAGCGTTTCCCTGCCATTGCCAGTGGTATCGCACCTCTTTCGAGCCTGTATCCCCGAGACCGCCGATAATACCTAGGTGGATAGACTGTCGTCCACAGAACCTATATCGCTTGCGCATCAATTTTGGTGGAGCAATATGCACGAGGGCATTCGTCATACTCGAAGGCAGGGCAGAGACACGGTACATCAGGCGTGATCAGACTGTGGGCAATGGTGACAGCCCTGGGGCCATGTCTGCACACACAACAATTGAATATGGCGGTACTTTACGTATTCCAACCAACTGATGTGCGGATGCTATGGTGCTGTCTAGGATCTAGTCTGGCTTTTGCATCTTCTACCACAGCTGTACGTTGTGGTTAGTTTTGCACCTGCCGCTGTCACCCACACGTGGAAGCAGCGGCCCACGTGCTGCCGTGGACCCTGATTTTCACGCCGTTACCGTTAACCCCGCAAACTCCTCCTCTCACGACATCTAAGACACGTAGTTCAAGTTCTAGATGCATGCTATCAGTACGCATTCTTTTTTTACTGCCAATAGTGGCCTGATTCGACGGGTAAATTAATGTAGTTTGCACGTACTACTACTGAAGCAGCGGGTCTGGGGGCCTAGGCTCCTCTTGAACGAATGGCACAAGCGCCAGGCGCGCATGAGGCTCCTGATGTTCATTTACACCTACCTAACTCTGCTAGTATACTGTAGTGCTTATCTGCTGTTCGGTCAGGGCGCAATGCTTAACCATATTATGGAGTGGTCGTATAGCCATGCGCGGCTTCACGCTTCCCATCTCTCAACATCCACCGTCTTTGCTCTAACAATGCCAGGCAGAGATCACACCGCCGAGGCCGAGACCTTCGACTTCATTCTGGTAGGAGCAGGATCAGCAGCATGCTTGATCGCGTCACGTCTCTCGCAGCGGCTACCCGATCGCCGAATCCTCGTTCTGGAAGCCGGGGAACATGTTCGCGACGACGCCATAGTCCAAACGCCCGGTCTATCGGCAAAACTGATGTCATCTGAGTACGACTGGCAATACATTTCCGTGCCGGAGCCAGGTCTGAACAACAGGAGAGTGAAGCATCCGAGAGGGAAGTTGGTGGGGGGAACCAGTGCGATCAATAGTCATAGTGTGGTGTTCCCTAATCACGAATGGCAAGACCGTATCGCGAATGAGCTCTTATCAGATCCGGGGAAAGAAGAGTGGAGTGCAAAGAGCATGGGAGATTGCTACAGCCGATGGCAGGCAGAACACCCCGAACCCAAACTTGACGATGGTATAAAGACATCATACCCGCGTACCATGGACTATCTCCAATCTCGCTGGACGGAAGCCTTTGAGGAGCTAGGTCATCCGACGGGCACTACAGGATTTGCCGAGAGCAATGCTGGCGCAGTCACTGTCACCAATGCGATCGACTCATCAAAAGGCGAGCGAAGCCACGCAGGCCAAGCATTCCTAGAGCCCGCCTTGAAACGGGGCAATGTGACAATAAGAACCGGCATAAAGGTCGACAAGATTGCTTTTGACGAGGCGTTGACCGCCGAAGGGAAGCTTAATGCCACGGGCGTTCACTTCACACACGAAGGCGAGGAGTATCTGATCGATGGTCGAGAGATTATCCTCTGCGCAGGCGTATTCGAGTCTCCCGCGCTATTGGAACGATCAGGTATTGGATCCAAAGACGTCCTCGCGGCCGCGAATGTCCCACTCTTATACGAGCTGCCAGGCGTCGGCGAGAACTTGCAGGATCATCTGAACTGCGGTCTGTCCATCGAAGCTGGAGACGACACTCCAACTCGTGACGACGGACTACGAGACCCTATGGTGCAAAGGGCGGCATTAGAAGAGTACGGGAAAAGTCGCACGGGTCGACTGGCTGAAGGAGGAGCGTACAGTTTCGCTTTCACGCCACTGCAGTTACTAGAAACTCACTCAGAGACGGAGGAACTGGTTGCAATGGTCAAGCATTCGGTGGAAGCAGAGAGCAACCCCAGCCTCAAAGCCCAGTACTCCGTCATCCAAAAGGCCGTCGAGAGCCCTAGCGAAGCAACAGCCACGACCTTCATGCTGCGTTCACAGCGTCACAGAGACCTCGAATCGATGCCTCCAAACACGCCATCTGTGGTCGATGGCAACTACATCACCATTGTTGCCATGTTGGCGCATCCATTCTCGCGCGGAAACTGTCATATCTCCTCCGATCCTTCGCTCAAGCCAGAGATCAAGTTTAACTACCTATCGCATCCTCTTGACGTGGAGATCTTCGCTCGCCACCTCCGTCTCATTGAGAGGCTCTTCCAAAAGCCTGTCTTTACTGCTATGGCAAAACCAAATGGAAGACGATTGCCTCGAAGCTTTCCCCACCCAGTGACGTCGCTTGAAGATGCGAAAGGGATCCTTCCTATCAATTCGGCAACGAACTACCATCCTTCTAGCACTTGCTCGATGATGAGAGAGGACCTAGGGGGCGTTGTTGACGAACGACTGAGAGTATACGGAACGAAGAATGTGAGGGTTTGCGACGCTAGTGTTTTGCCGATTATACCACGAGGGAACATCTTGACCGCTGTCTATGCTTTCGCGGAGAAGGCGGTTGAGATTATCTGTGCGGAAGCGAAATCGGGCTTTATCAAACCCTAAAGACGATCGATCCTGAGTCGAACATCGGGTCTCTTGACGAGTGTAGTTTGAAAGCTCATTGTAAGACATGAGTAAATGCATTTTCGGTCACGTATCAGCTATTCTTATCCTAGGCCCTCTTCTTGATGATATCCGCCGCCTTCTCCGCAATCGCGTACATAGTGGCCTGTAGATGCGTCGCAGGAATCATCGGAATGATACTTGCGTCCACAACACTCAATCCCTTGACTCCATACACCAGCAATTCATCACTTACACAACCACCAAGCTCTTCAGGCATCATACTGCACCCACCACTGGGATGCGCGAATGTGGGTTGTAGTGAGCCCGAGGCAACACCGCCCTGGATGATCTCCTCATCGGTTTGTTACTGAGGGCCAGGAGCTGTCTCCACAGGGTTATATTGCGCAAGTTCCTTGGACGCCCAGTGTGCGCGGTTGTATCGTGTAAGGGCTACCATAACATCCGCATCAACAGGGTTCTGGAACGTGTTCCATTGGACAATCGGATAGGCGGCAGGATGTGTATTGTTGAGTGTGATAGTGCCTCGTGAGAAGGGCTTGTTGTTCGCGATACCAGAGAAACCCCATGGCTGGATGACAAGTTCGCCTACAGCGGCGTCAGTGCCGGAGAACTGCTTCGCAAGGATGTCGCGCTGCTTCTTGAAACCGGCGAGAAGCTTCTTGTCCTTTGCGTAGCGTCCCGGGAGGAAGTTGGAAGCTACTTGAGATCGTATCTTGGCAACAGTCTTCTTGAACGAGGAATCGAAGTGTTGTAGTGCAATGAAGACGAGACCGTTGGCTTTGCCAACAGAGTATGGGCCGGTGCGCGACTTCAAGTACTGATCGTAAGCTGTTTGGTTGAAGGATGAATCTGTGCCGAGGGCGTTCATGTTCTCTGGATTCAGGTTTTGAAGGTCAAAGTTCATGTAGTTGGCGATGTGGTCTTGGAAATTTGAACCCACGGCTGGGAGATCCTAGGAAATGTCAGCACAGGTCTCAGGATCATCACCACCATCCTTACACCTCATACAAGGAGAATTCTGAACAGGTCTGCAGCCTACATCAACATGGAAACCTGCAAAGTAGGTGTCCTAACGTCGATGTAGGCTCCAGCCCTGTTCAAATTTTTCGAGGTTGACGTGCTTACCTTCTTAACGGTGACACCGGCAGCTTTCAGAACGTCCTTTGGGCCAATGCCAGAGTACATGAGCAAGTGTGGTGTAAACACGCCACCAGCAGCAAGAATGACTTCTTTTGCGGCAGTGGCTTCGACTTGCTTGTTGGTGTCTTTTGGAGTATACTTGACGCCCGTGGCGGTTAAGGCGCCTACTCTGTTCTTTGAGAACATAATCTCATCGACATGAGCGTTTGTTAAAAGTTTCAGGTTCTTCCTCGACACAATGGGATCGTAGTACGCAGTGCGCGATGTACTACGCATATCAGTCGCCTTGTTGATTGAGTTCGGTGACCAGTAGTGACCGACAGGCTCTGCAAAGCCCTCCTGTGGGTGCGGAATGTCGACATCATCCCAGGAGTGATAGATAGTCTTCATATCGGGGAATTGGTAGTCCGGTATCGACACCTTCAGCGGGCCATTTCCGTAAGCCTTGGCATCATAGGTGATACCAAAAGCCTTGGTTGTCTTCTTCGAAGGCGCATCGAAGTCGTTGCTCTTCATGAAGTATGGTTTCAGCCCCTTCCAATCCCATCCTTTGTTTCCGAGCTGGCCCCACGCGTCATAGTCTGCATCAGCACCTCTGTCAAACTGCATTCCGTTCACATAGGACCCGCCGCCGACGACGTTGCCGACTGTTACTAGGAAAGTTTGGTTGCCAAGATTGGGAACGGGTGCGCTGTAGATGTCGTACATAGCAGCAAGGTTGAGGCCGCCCGAGTTGCCGGGAATGCTGGATAGGGTGCCATTGTCGAGAGCGCCGTTTTCGATAACCAGGACCGCCTCTGTAAACAATTGTCAGCTCATTGCTCGAAGCACCTCTTCACCTTTCGGTACTCACTCTTGGGATCTTCGCTTAGTCTGTTCGCAACGACCAAGCCCGTGGTGCCTCCTCCAACAATGACATAGTCGTATGTGGTTTGGGCTGATGCCACTGCTAACACCGCAGCGCCAAAGAACGAAGGAGCGATGAATGAAAGCATGTCTGACTACGTATGAGGTAAACGAGAATTACCACAAAGATAAATTTGCTTGCTGACCCGTACGGATCACGGCTGGCTGCGAAGCTGAAGGATTGACGGCGTGCGGAAGAAACCATGAAGCCTTCCTGGGAACGATTTATAGGCCCTCATCGCAACGCTGCCAAGAGATCGTCATGCGTGGTACGGTCTGTACATGTAGACCCCTGGCTTCCATCGATATTCGGACGCATGTGCATCTGCCGGTCTTACTGTGGGTTCTCATGGATGGCTAAGGACCTGCGCCTTCGAGCGATGGATCGTGGCAAAAGGCCGGGTCAACACATGGCGGCCCCAGGGGTGTCAAACATCGGAGGGAATACGCCGGAAAAAAAACTTGACATGTAATCGAAAAGGCGGCGCATTGCTAGTCATGAAGATCAATGCCATGAGAACGGGACGTAGTGCCAACCCCGTGGAAATAACCTTGGAAAGGGTACGCGGGGTGCCTGTCAGGCCCGTTCCCACGCGCGACCGGCAACGGAAGCTACGAAACGGTCCGCCTCGTGGAGTCGCGATGTTGCGACTATGTGCTCAATCAATAGTAAGAGCTATATGTATCGTATTCTCTTCCACAAGAGCCTTCCTTCGCAGCTGCATCGCCAGAATGCTGCGTGTTCTCCACGTGCCAGTCAGGGACACGGGGAGTTCTCTGCACGCTCAATCGGGTATAGCGCATCTGACATCCCACCCCTGCGGAGCCAAATGCCGTCCCAGAACTCCAACCGAGCCGCCTCGCCAGGAGCGGGACGCAGACCCGCGTCGATACCCTATGGCACTGCCTGCCTGACATACTCACGTCCATAAGTTCCTGTACCATTGAGAGAAATGCATGTCGCTTTCAGGTGTTCATGTCACACTCAGAACGCAATTAGTTCATACAAAGTGTGCGCAACCCAAAAGCGATATCTTGCTAAACCTCATAGTGTTTACGCCAATGTTCTGGAGCCCAAAATCTTGCGGCCCTCAAGATTCAGATAAGATACACTACCCGGTCATTTGCCTCAGCGGTTAGCCACTTGGACAGCTCGACCCGTGCCACGCCGATCCGCTCAGACAAACCCCGCACATCTGTCTTAATGATTAAGCAGTTCACATAGAGTGGGTCTGGAGTAATCATGAGCTCGAATTCTTGCGTAAGACCCACCAGCTCAATCTTGCCTGCCTCGTCGTCATTGTGAACTAAGTGTGGCCGAATGTCGGAATGTTCCAAGTCATCGCGACATAATAATGCTCCTTCCAGTTCTGAAAACTCCGCGACAGAAGCCTCCATTATGAGGAGCTTATCCAGATCATTCGCCGACAGCTGCAGTGTCTCAAAGTCCGCTGCCTCCCTCTTCAGATCATTGTTTGGTGACAGAATGCTGATCTTGCACAAGTCCTTAATTTCCACATGCTTTCTGCTGGAAAAGAACTCTTGGGAACTTTTATCTTGAGCGTGCGGTCGCCGCCAGCCTAGCCAGGACCAGCTAGGATAGCCGGGTCGTCGTTCCAGTCCTTTAGTCTCAAAGTCAAGACCGTCCAGTATACGGTCTGTAGGTGTGGCCCAGAAGAATTGGGTGCCTTTCTGTTCGAGCCACGCTATAACGCCCGTACACGCTTTGAGAGTATCGGAATCGTACGTAAGCTCAAGTCTGCAGAAGCATTCCACAAAGCACAGGAAGTCAAACTCATCCCTGCTCGCTGGCAAAGACATCCGAGTCAAAGTTATTGCTTGTTTGAGAATCCGCCCACTATAGTCGCAGTCGATGCTCTCGTCAATCCACCCATCTTTACATTGAAAGACCACTCGATTTTCCAAGAAGAACAGACATCGCCTTGAGAATATTTGTTCCTGGAACGTCCAGCCACGCTGAGTCCAGCGTGCGTTCTTCAGCTCAGCTCCCAGTGGTGGCAAAGCTTCCATGAGAGCTATGTTTCCGATGGACACGCGGTGTTGCGACATAGGGCGTGCTATCGACACCCCGCTAAGGCCTGTCCACGATGAATCGGCACAAGCTGCTACAATTGTCATGACAGCTGTATCATAAATCTCCGTCATCTTGTCCAGATGTCGTGGAAGATCTGGCGCGTCCTGAATCAGACAAAGAGCGTCGACCCAGAGATATCGAATGCCGCATCCGATACAAACTTCCATGGCGTCTCTGATCGTTGCTGGTACCTCATCCCACCGTCGCCTCAATGCATTGCGCTTTGACATGGCTTCCACTTCCGTTTGGTGCAACTTCAGTTGTGTAAGGTGAGATGGGCCCCAGACATAGCTTAGGGCAGCGTATTTCGTTGGCAACTGCTTTGATTTCAGGCACATTGCTTTCACATCGATCAGTCGTAGCGTGTCCAAAGTTCTTGTTGTGAAGCGACTCTTCGCGCAATCGAAATGGGAGTCATGCGGGTCCTCCAAACATTTTCTCACCCACAATGATAACCCTTTGATGTTACAGTATGGCGTCAAACGCTCTGGCAACACAGTGATCCATTCGCGACCAGCAGCCGCTTCGATGTAATCAGGCCATGTGTTGGAGTATGATGCTTGGGAGGCTTGTCGATCGATAACCCTTAGAAACACAGCCCCGTGACTATCGCTCAATGCAACCTTGTTGAATTGTACAACCAGATCTTTTTCTGAGGCTGATATGTCGTCTTCCTTTATCTGGCCTCGAATAACGAGTAGAGACACGAAGAAACTACACATCGGGCAAGTCTTCGCAAGTCTGACGGTTTGCAGGGAGCGGACATCCCAGACCGGACGTCTTGAATGGTCTCTGATGACTCCACACGCGTAAGCAGGATATTGTTTGCCAAGAA